GGGCGCGAGGGGAGGGTCGCGGCGCCAGGGCAGCGCACTCACCGTGGTGGGTCGGAGGGTACCTCTGCACCGTGGCCCGGACCGAGTTGCCGTAGTAGGACGGGACGTGGTTGCCTTGGCCGTCGATGTTAAAAAGTACATCCACCTCCTCGGGCAGGGGGTACTGCGCCGGGTCCATGTAGGAGTGGCCGAGGCCCGGGTGGTGCGCGTCCGGATGCTGCCCGTTGAGCACCGCGGGGTGGTGGTGGCTCACCCAGCGCGGCTGGTCCGCGGTCACTTATTCGTTCAATGGTCTGCTTTCAGAGGGGGACTGGGAAGACTGGGAAAGCAAAGTGAGCGGAGGTTTGGGGAGTGGGGGAAATCTTTAAGGGATAGTTTGGCAAAAAGAAGAGGAGAGGGAAGAAAGATCCAAAAACCAGGACCAAATTGTAAAAAGGGGGTGAGGATGCTGGAAATCTGAGAGCGAGGTTCCTCTCTCGGCCCGGGGCTCCTCAGCGCCCAGTCACCTGCAAAGGAGAGAAGGAGAGACGCGGATGAGCCGGTGAGCACTTGAGCACCTGAGTTTTGGACGTGAGTTTGGCAAAAAGAAGAGGAGAGGGAAGAAAGATCCAAAAACCAGGACCAAATTGTAAAAAGGGGGTGAGGATGCTGGAAATCTGAGAGCGAGGTTCCTCTCTCGGCCCGGGGCTCCTCAGCGCCCAGTCACCTGCAAAGGAGAGAAGGAGAGACGCGGATGAGCCGGTGAGCACTTGAGCACCTGAGTTTTGGACGTGGGACGTGACACAGACCTGCGCTTTACATTTTTTAAAAGTCCTCCCGAGTGGGGGAGGGGAGTGAATCAAACTTTTTTTAAAAAGTCACCGTACCAACCTGGGTAGCCAGGAGCGGAGAGGAGGAGGAGGAGGCGCGTGACCTGCCCGGCCAGATTGCGTAGCTCGCTCTGTCTCGCTCTCTCCGTCTCTCTTTTTCCTCTGGGTTTTTTTTTTTTTTTTTTTTTTTTTTTTTTGTGGATTTTTATTTTTTTTTTTTTTTTTTTTTTTGAGAAGTG